GCCTACTGACCCCCAGGAAAAGAGATACTAAAGTCAAAGGTAGATTCAGAGACAGGGGAATGCTGAAATTGGGCTCCTCGTGCTCTGTCTTTAGGCCACGTGACTTCCTAACTAGCTCACTGCTCCATCTGGGAAATGGGCGCAATCAGGCACTGACTCAGCAGTGAAAGAGGCAGTGGGTCTGAGCCTCATGGGCTCTCCTTGATCTCAGTTCAGGCCCCGCCTCCACCCCCCACCCCAGTTCCATAAGCAAGGCTCTCCCTGGCTCTAGTCCCAGCCCCAGTAATTAATACCCCTTCCCACACTTGCCAGTACTTGGAGTAGAAGCTGAGAAAGGGGGTGAATCAGTTTGACAGGCTTCGCCGGCCCCAGGGGGCTGTGCAGTTGCCTGTCCTTTGGGCCCACGTCCTCTGGATGCAGGCACACGAATGTCCAGGTGCTCTAGGGCACTAATCTTATTTTTCTCTGAGGTGCAGAACCAGACACGGGCCCCCAGAGGGCAATGCAGCTTCCCAGGGGCCTTTGTAAGGCGATGGCGGTGAGGGTGGGGAGGCAGAGGCAGGGAGAGAGGGGAGAGGGAGAAGGTCAGAATGGTAAGAAGTCCTGGCTGGTCAGACAGCACTGCCCCAATCCCTCTGATGCGGTCCATGCCTCAGGGTTGGCTCCACCCCTGCAAGGGGGTGCTCTTGGGCTCTGCCTGGGGTGGGGAATCGAGTGCATGGAGGAGGGTGGGAAAGGGTGAGGAGGGTCCCCATCTGGGCCTGGGAGGGGTGCTTAGTGTGATGTGCATTTGGAACCACTGCAGAAAGGGGATTCAGGGTAGACTCGGGGGAAGAACTTTCAGAACTGTAGGAAGGACTTGGGAAAGCAAGGCAAGAGAGGCTGTAGACCTGCCCCCTGCCTCCGTGGAGGCCAGAGGCTGGACAAAGTGGCCTGGTGAGGAGGGTCTGGTTCTCTTCCTCTACCTCCCTGCTCCCTGCTGCCACCAGTGAGGGGTCTCAGCTTGCAACTGTTGAGTTTGACTCAGAAACCTCTGCCTGGACATCATCCACAGTGACAGCAAGGGACATAAAGCACTTTCACACTGGAGTCTCCTGGTAGGAACCTTCCAAACCCATTTCACAGGCAAAGAAATAAAAGCCCAGACAAGGTAAAGAACATGCTTGAGGTCAGGTGGCAGGGGAGTTGTGCAACTTGCAGTGAGGGTCCAGTGAAGGGCTCTTTCCATGACCTTTGACCCCAGACCTCCCTCTCTGTTCCCCAACCCACCCACAGTGAGGTCCTGCCCCTTGGCAGTCAGCCCTTCCCCGCTCTCCCCTGGGGGGCAAACAAAGGTGCAGCATTGGTGAGGGGAGGTGGGGGAGGGGGGGACAAGGACTCAGTCCTGGAATGGGCTGCCTGGCTCTTCCCTGGGCACCTATAGGAAGTCCCGGGTCACCCCCATTTCCTTCCCCTTAGCCCTGCCTTACTCTTCTCCTGGGCATTCACATCCCCAGCCTGTCATACACTTATTTGCTACTGTCTGTTTCCCCCATAGGTTGTCATCTTCACAGAGCAGGGACTTAACTGTTTTGTTTATGGCTATATCCCCAATGCCTCCGTTAGGTGCCTCTAAATATTTATGTGAATAATGAGTGGCTCTTACACCTGCCACTTAGTTGTGTGACTTTGGGCAGGTTGCCTACCTCTCAGTTAACATTTATGCCCTTACCATGTGCCAGGCACTACTACTTCTCTGTGAGCTTCATATCTATTAATTCATATAAGCCGCATAGCAAACCTGTGATGTGGTTACCATCATTATCCTTTACCACTGACGGATGAGGAAAATGAGGCCCAGAGAGGTGGGTGACCTACTTTTGGGAGGTGACGGGTGGTGGAGCTGGGGTATCAGATGGGAATAAATGCTTGACCTAGAACTGAGTTAATTGCTGGCCCCCACTTCTGTTCCCTAGTCCCCATAATTCCTTGCCTATAAAACAGGACTAATCACAGCTCTCCCTCCCCTCTCCTCCCCTCCCCACCCCCTGCTTGCCTCCCCTGTAGGGGCTGAATCTGCAAGGAGGAGATGGCACAGGCAAGGTTTGGGTGCCCAGGTGAGGTCAAGGTTATCATTAGCTCCCTGGCTGCCTCCACCAGCACCAGGGCTTCTCCAGAGGACTGGGTGCTGACCTCCTCTACCCCCTGCCCCATACCCTTCTGGGTCTTGGCTTCTCTGTCTGTGAAATGGGGAGGGGTCTCTCAGGCTCAGGGATGACGGAGGGGATACAGAAGTGACATGAAGGGATTACCATTTCTGGTAACACGGTGGTCTGTGCCTGTTCCAGCTAAAAACAACAAAAAATGGACAGAAATAAAAAACATTTTTCAAAGTGTTAACGAGCTCACAAGGCAGTAAGAAATCTGCAGGAAAGCAGACTCCAGGATGTAAGCAGAACACCTGGGTCCCCAGCCCTGAGGGCATTGGCCAAGTTGAACCAAAATGACCTTTGGCTGTGACAGTTTGTGGACTGAGGGAGACAGAAGCTAAAGCCCAGGGCTCACTCAAAGAGGGGAGACAAAGGGGACACCCCCATAATGCTGGGACTCCAAAGCAGCTATACTTCAGCTAAAAGCCAGGGGATACCCAGCCCCACCCCACGAGACTGCAGGGAACAAGGCCTCGGTGCCTAATGTAGTGGGAAGGACAGGAAACATGCTCCAGCCACAGCAGCTCTGGCCCTCGAATGGGCCTGCAGTCCACGTCACCTCAGTCACTGCAGTCTGGCTGGGGGGTGGCCAGGGAACTCAGCCTAGAGGGTTGGAGTGGCCCTAGGAGCACACACCTCCCTCCTCTGCCTCAGGGACATCCTACAGATCGTTTCCCGCAGGGTCTGAGCAGTTCACAGCCCGAACCGACCAAGGACCATGGATCTGGAGATCAGGCAGCCAGAGGGATGCATGGCCTCGGTGTTCTCTTCTGTAGACGAGGGGCTTGATCAAGATCCTTTCTGGCACAGGGACTCTCTGAGGGTGAGGCTAACGTGTGTTCCCACTTTGTATTCTTCTGGGGTGTCTCTTCAGGATAAAGAGATGGGGGTGCGTGGCATGGGTTAGCTTGTCTCCTCTGACCACGCTGGAGGGACATGGACAGGAGGCTATGGTCAGTGGGGAGGGACAGAAGGGAAATAATGGGAGGCATGTCTGAGGCCCAGACAGGGCCTTTGATGTGTGCATGAATAGGTGGGAGGGTGGGGCCTGTAACAGGGGTTGCCAGAGGCGTGGAGCCCCCGGGGACATCCTCAGCTTGACCTACTTGGATCCCCCATAATTGCTCCCTTCCTTCTTTGGGAGGCTACAAATAGGGATGCCCTGCCTTTAGGCTCCAGCACCTGCTGAGACGCCAACGCCAGCCGTGAGTGCTAGCTGCTTGGGTCCTCTGTTGGGTGTCCAGCAGCTCAGAGGTCTGACTTCTGTCCAGGGGCTGGGCAGGGGTGCTGAGGGAGTATAGCAGGGACTGATGCAGTGAGGGAAGTCAGCTGTGGTGGACTCAGGGGTTCCCTTGTATAGTGAGAGGCTGTTGAGAAGTTTGGGGTAGGGGGTGTGCAGAGGTGGACTGACTAAGGGGTGGGGAAATGGACTAAAAGAGCTGGTGTTACCTTCAGTTAGCTCCCCCCGGACTCCTTCCTTTATTCCTGCCAACTGTGAGCCAGGGCTGCATGGCAGAGAGAGGATTCCTTCCAGCCTCCAGGCCCCAGGCTTCTGAAAAAGCAGGCTGGCGGGAGCCCAGAAGGCAGCTGAGCACCTCTGAGTTCCTTATCCCTTGGGATCATGGCCCTTTTCTCCCGTGGGAACCCAGATATACTGCTCCAGTCCTGAGCTGTTGCAAAGCATTCGACCCCAGGCAGTGCTTAGCCCCATCCCCTTCCTCCTTCCCACCAGCCACAGCCCTGTGGCCATTTCTTCCGAGGGCCCGGCAGAAAGGAGCTCATCAGCGAGGGAGCTTGGGCCTTGGCTGCCTTGTGTTGTGGGACTCTCGTCCTCTGGGGGAACCAGAAGTGAGTCACTGGGCTCACATGGAAACGACATTTGCCTTCCTGGCTGCCTTAGTATTTCCCCAGGCTGGAGGCATCCTCCCAGCAGGGCAGTGGGAAGGACCAGTGGAACTGGGGTGGTGATTCCAGGAAGGGCTTCTCCGCTAACAGAACAGGGTGCCCCTATGCAGAGCCTTCTGTCTCAGGACCCCCAGGGGTCAGGAGGAGGGCCTCAGGTGGGGCAGATCACACCCTGGGGAAAACCCGAGCTGGGTCCGGCTAGAGACTGTCTGGCTCAGGTCCCTACCTAGGCCTGTGAGGTGGGATTAACCCCACTTTACAGACAAGGCACCTGAGACTGGGAGCTGGTAAATGGCTCATCCAGGGTTGCCCAGAAGGCAGAGAGCCTCCCAGAAGTTTTTCCTTTGGTTGCAGCAGGGAGGGTGAGGGGTGGGGGATGGTGAGGCAATGGGGGTTCCCCTCAGACTCCACCCTCCCTGAGAAGGTCCAGCTTCCCCAAGGACTGGAGCATGGGCGCACGGGGCAGGGTCTCCTTGTGCAGGTTCCTACAGAGGAACTCTGGGGTCCTGAAGGGGACCAGGGGCTGTGTTTCATTGGCTGGCATAGGTGGGACTGAGCCCTTCCTGGGTGTTGGAATGAAAAAAGGTGGAGAGAATCAGGGTGTCCTCATGGACCCCTGGCAGGGGGTGCAGGGGGTGGTGGGAAGAGGCTCTCTCCCTGAAGGGTTTGCAGGGATGCAGGGGGGAAACGTCTGTCCAGGAAAATAACAATGGGGGAAGGAGGAAGGGGGATGGGGCTAAGCACTGCCTGGGGTCGAATGCTTTGCAACAGCTCAGGACTGGAGCAGTATATCTGGGTTCCCATGGGAGAAAAGGAGTGACAGTAGGGAAATACATTAGGAGGGGTTGGTGTAGTCAGGGAGGGCTGCTCAGAGGAGGGGGAGCTGGAAGCTCTGTGGGGATTAAGCCAGGTCTGGGATCAGTCCCTGGGAAACACGGAGGCAGGGAGGACCCAGGCCTCCACCGTGAGTCACACCCTTGTTCTGTGACAGTAAGGATGGCCAGGCCTCTGGAGCAGGCAGTGGCTGCTATCGTGTGCACCTTCCAGGAATATTCAGGGCGCTGTGGGGACAAGCACAAGCTCTGCCAGGCGGAGCTCAAGGAGCTGCTGCAGAAGGAGCTGCCCTCCTGGACTCCGGTGAGCACCTGGGTGCCTACCCTGCTGGCAAGTGCCACTTGGCCTCTGCAAAGAGAGACATGGGGACGAGTTCTGAGCATGGGACCGTGAGAGGGGTGGAGGCTAGACTGTGGGGAGGAGATGCCAGGAGTGGGACTGACAGGGCAGGAATCTCAGTTTCTGCATCTGTAAAATGGGGATGACAACCACCCCACCTGCTGCTTACTAGCTTTGCTGCGAGGACTGAGTGAGACTGAAGACTGCCTGGCGCATAGTAGGCACCCCATAGGAAAGAGTAGGTGCTCAGTAATTGATCTGAGCAGGGGGATGGGCAGGGAGATTGACATGGGTGTGCTACCAGAGCAGGTAGGCTGGGGTTGGCCCCTAGACAGGGCGTGGGTGGGGATGGGTGGGACCACCCGGGAGTGGAAGTAGAAGCAGCGTGTGTGCCAGGCTGTGCTGCCCACCTCAACCTGTCTCCCCATCCCTGCCCACTCCCCTGCACAGATGGTGTTTCGGGAGTGTGACTACAGTAAATTCATGAGTCTTCTGGACACCAACAAGGATTGTGAGGTGGACTTTGCGGAGTACATGCGCTCACTGGCCTGCCTCTGCACCTACTGCCACGAATACTTCAAGGACTGTCCTCCGGAGGCCCCCTGCCCCCAGTAGCCTCTGCTCCCCAGGGTCTGCTGCATTCACCCCTGCCCCCTCCTGGCATGTCCTGGATGTGCCCCTGATCTCTTAACCCATATCACCCATGAGGCAGGGAGATGGAGGGGGCCTCCCCAGGATCATATTAGGGAGGGGCGTCCTACCAGTGGCTCTGGGCTGAGGTGGGCAGAGGCCGGGATCTGTTCTGAGGCTGTCCCGGCCCAGCACTGAGGAGATCATGATGGGGAAGGGCCGCTTGACTCCTAATAAAGAGCTGGTGTCACTTGGCTTGGTTTGTTTCTTCCGAGAGGACAGCTGGGACCTGGGTCTGAGTCCCATCGAGGCCTCTGCCCCTCTCTGGTCTTATCCCTTGGAAGACAGGGGGCTGAGGGCAGCTTTGGACCCTGCAGAAGCGAAATGGTCTCAAAGGTCCAGCAGGAGGAGGTGGGGAAAGGCAAGGACAACATCTGGGGAGGCTGTGTGGGGGGTTCTCTCTTTCTCTCTCTCTGTCTCTGTTTCTGGCCTTTGAGGGAGAAGCTCCCTTGGCCCACCAAGGAGGGTGAGAGGGCAGGCTGAGAGTCCCTGGGGATGGAGCTCTGTCGTCAGGACAGGATGTCCTGAGGAGGGTGGGGCCGCGGGGGCTGTGTGCCCCCTGCCCAGGGCTGTGGGAGCCCAGAGTGCGGCACTAGTAGGATTAGGGTGTCCGAGGTCTGATTAGGGTGTTGCTCCGGGCCTGGGAGCGGAGCGGATACTTGCGGCCGACCCGCCCCTGAAGCCACAGCCATCTGAGGGCCCTAACCCCACCTTTGACCCTAGCTCAACCCAAGTTCACAGCCCATCCTAAGAGGTTAGCCCCGTCCCTGCCTCTGCCATTTTGTGCCATTTCTTTTCTAACTTTCCACCCCAACCTGCATTCTTCATTCCTCACATCCATCCCAATCTACCTCCCTCCCCTTGCAACTGCTCTCCGACCCACAATCCATTGCTGAGCCCATGCCCGACTCCCAGTCCCCACTCAGCACTACCTCACCCACGACCTTCCCCCTGATATCCTTCGGGTGGTCGCAGTGCCCCCTGTGGGCGGTGGCCTGGTCCTCCTCCCGGCTCCTCAGCTCCTGCCCTGGGCCTCACTGGGTGGGGCAGAGAGCCGTCTGGGAAAGTGAGAAGCGCAGCTGGGGCTGTCCTACAGCGCTGGGCCTGGGCTACCCTCCCTTAGTTCCTAGGCAGACACATTTCCAGTGATTCCCCACCCATCACTCACCGCTCCTGTATCCTCTTACCCTGCTGGCAGGTGTGACTACCTCCCTGTCCCCCCTGCCCCAGGCACAGACTGCCCCTTCCTCCAGCTCCCTAAAACTCAGGCTGGGCTGTGCCCACTGGAGGTGCCCACCCCACCGAGACCCCTGCCCGTGCCCGCTGGGCTCTCCCATTGTTCGTCTGAGCCTGCCTGGAGCAGGAACCTGGGTTTCCAGGCCGGGCTGTGGAGGGGGCCACAGCACTTACCACATCGGCCCACAGCAGGAGGGCTGTCTCCCGCTCTCCCCCATCCCCTGCCATGGGCAGGGCCTGGCCAGGGTATAAATAGGGCAGACTGTTGGGCTTTCCCCACTCTTTCTTTCTCCCCAGACCTCTCTCCTCAGTGCTTCCTCTCTTGGCCTGGTGAGTTGTGGTTGCCTGACTGGCACTCAAAGAGTGTCAGGCTGAGGATCCTGGCAGGGGAACGGGAGGCTGGTGGGGACCAGATGTGCTGAGTGGGTCCAGATGTGAGATTCCAATGTGGAGACTCTGGGATGCTGTGTGTGTGTATGTGTGTGCGCGTGCACACGTGTGCATGCACGTGCAGGAGAAAAAATGGAAAGAAGTGTGCAGGTGGCTGGATTCAAGCTACTTGAGGGGTACAGAGGTACTGGGCCTTGCATATGCTGTGGCTGTTGTATGTTTTGGGGTGTGTGTGACCTGTGGGTATGCACAGGGGCTTGTGTTTGCTTGGTTGCACACTCCTGTGTGTGCACATGGGTGTGGGAAACAAAGTGAAGGCGATTGTGGGCTTTTGTCTGGCAGTGTCCTGTGAGCTTCTGCCCTGCACCCAGAGGCCCAGCCCAAGGGAGCCTGGCCTCCCCACCCTTTCCCTGCATCCCTGCCTCTGCCACCTCACCCTGCCCCTCCCTAGTAGGCCAGGCCTAGGCGCTGGTTACTGTTTTTTTCCGCTGCAGGCCCCTGGCAGGTCTCCAGCCACTTGCTGGGCCCTGGGAGGGAGAAGAATGGACTGGGTGGGGCTGCCGTGGGCCAGGCTGTGGTGGGACTGAGTGAGGGATGGAAAAAGCTCTGTGGTTGAGGCGCATCTGTGGGAGGCCCCGGAAGCTTGCTCCCTGAAAGCCAGAGTTTATGCAGTGGGCCCAGCAAGGGTTTGCTGCCTGAAGCATCGATTTCCCACTGTGCATGCTCCCCACCAGGACCTAAGCCCCACTTCCTAGCTGCTCTCTGCTGGGAGCAGTCTCACCAAGGGCTCCTGGAGGGACGGGAGGGCCATGGGCCTTCTGAATACATAGCTGGGGGTGGGGTGGGGGGAAGATAAGCTACCTCTGTGACCCCCAGACCCAGATTCCAACTGCTGCCATGGCATGCCCCCTGGAGAAGGCTCTGGATGTGATGGTGTCCACCTTCCACAAGTATTCAGCCAAGGAAGGTGACAAGTTCAAACTCAACAAGTCAGAGCTAAAGGAGCTGCTGACCCGGGAGCTGCCCAGCTTTTTGGGGGTGAGTGGCTACTGCCTGGGGGTTTGCTCCATGGGGAGCATTCTCCACAGTTGGGAGGTGCCAGGGGGCATCTGTTCCTCAGCTAGGGAAGTTGGGGTATGGACCTTCCCTGCACTGGCCACCTGGGGTAGAAAAACTGAGCACGCACCATTCATTTTCTGGCATCCAGCAGAAAGGAGGCTGAGGATGAACAGGTAGGTTCTGGGCCAGACACTCTGCCAGGTGCTTTGTACCCCTTAACTGAAGGGAAACAAGCTCAGAGAGGCTAAGTAACTCAACAGGGCAGTCAGGGTGCAAAGCCAGTTCTGTGACCCAGGGTGGTCTGCCTCTTGCGGTCACTCCAGCAAAGAACAGTATTCAGGTTTCTGTTTGGCTTGTGTATGTGAATTCATGGTGATGGAGACCCTCATGTGCCTACTTCCCGTGAGCAATTACAGCTTCCCTCCGTGTCATACTCCATGCAGTTTATAAATTGCTCTCATGACCATTGTCTAATTGGATTCCTGAAATGACCTTGGGGGAAGATGTGGTCCCCTTTTCAGGATGCTCCCAGGTACTCTGGCTTCCGCATCTGAGGGGTAACCCTTCGCCAGAGTTCCAAGCTGGGCCTCCCAGGGAGTGGCTGGCCTTCCTGAGCTCCCATCTAGCGATGGCAGTGTCCAGTCTCGGCTCTAGTGCCTGGGCTTCTGGTTTCTACCTGCAGCCTCTTCTCCCTGCAGAAAAGGACAGATGAAGCTGCGTTCCAGAAGCTTATGAGCAACTTGGACAGCAACAGGGACAACGAGGTAGACTTCCAGGAGTACTGTGTCTTCCTGTCCTGCATCGCCATGATGTGTAACGAGTTTTTTGAAGGCTTCCCTGATAAGCAGCCCCGGAAGAAATGAAGGCTCCTCAGATGTGGGTCAGGGGGGCCCTGTCAGCCGGGGCTTCCCTCTTGCAGGGTGGGGCACAGTGCCTTAACCTGGCTCCTACACATGTGTACATGATGTTGAGCAAGTTCAATAAAGATTCTTAGAAGCTATAAGCTGATGGTTTGAGAGATTTTGCGGGTATGGGATGGGGGCTGAGGGATATGGGGGTGGGGAGTTGAGCTGCAGTTTTGTGGAGAGCAGACTAGTGTGGAGGGATGTATGGTGACTGAGGGGGGGTGCATGCACGTGTGTGTGCATGTGTGGGTGTGCGTGTGTGGGACAGAGTTAACTCCGGATAAGGCTGAAGGCAGGGGAAGGGACCCCAGAGGCTTGGAATGCCCTAGCTGTGGGATCTTACCCAGGGACTCGCCTCTCCCACTTCACCCTTGCCTCTGGCAGGACCTCTAACTGAGGCTGGGATGGGACTGAAGGTCACAGCTGCTTCTGGTTGGGGTCTGGAATGCAGTGTGGGTGCCCTGGGGGAGTGGTGGGGGAAAGGGCTGAGTCATGGGGAGGGAGTGGGCTGGGGAAGAGGGCTCAGTCCTGATGGTCACAGTCCTGTCCTGCTGCCCCTTTCCTGTACCCTGGCTTCAGACTTCAGGGATGGATGGATGAAATTTCTGTCCATGGTTGGATTAGATTGGCCAGATGGACAGAGACCAGGCTATTGGCAGCAGCCTGCGAATATCATCTCTGTCAACCCCTGTCTCTGCTCCCAAAGGTCCTGGGATGAGATTTGTTTCAATCTGGAATCATGTTCCTTCAGAGAAGGACAAAAGCCCTCAGAAGGGATGAGTGGCTGGAGTGGGAATGAGGGAGATGGTGAGAGCTGATTGTAGTTTTTGGAGACAAAATTCCAGACATATAACCTGATTAATGAAATTGAGATATTTTCACCCTAGAAAATGTCAGGCACGATGTTGCTTCCTTTAGGTTACAGGTTAGCAGCTCCATCATGCAGTGAATGGGACTGATGTCAGACTTGCAGGCCATGCCTGCGTGTATGGGGACCTGTAAGGGAGAGGTGGATAGAGATCAGGTCCAAAGGCAGAGAGGGTTTAGTCCCCTTGACCTTGCAAACATTCCGTGTTCCCGTGTCAACACATTGTGTTTTTTCTCAAGTTGCTGAGGAGTGGGGTGAATGACTCAGATCTTCCCCCAGAGACTTGGGGAGAATTTTGGTCCAGGAAAAAGTTTGTTTCCCCCTCCCACCCCCTCCCTGCAGTCTGCGCATCTTCCATAGGAGTGCCCTCCCCTGAGCCTCCTTCTGTATCACTCTTTGCTTCGGAAACTCCTGTTGCTTAGTGACGGTCTCTGCTGCCTCTCCAGCCCTGCCAGCTGGTGGTGGTGGTGATGGTGGGGCGCCAGCAGGAAGCACTCAGGCCGCATGGTTGGGGGACTGCAGCCACGACATGTGCTAAGCCCCTAACTTGGTTCTGTTCTCATACTTGGACTGGTTGGTGGTAAAACAATCTCTGAGACTCTCTTGGGATACAGGCAACCCTTCCTGACCCCCACCTCATTTATTACTGCATCTTGAGCCTGTCCCCCCAGTCTACAACCCCTACCCCATCACCTGGCTCTGTCTTTCCTCAGTTCCCTCCCTTAACCCAGATTTTCAGTTCTCCATTTGAAGAATCTTGGACAACTCTTTCCCACAGAGAAGAGTGAGGTTTAGATGGAATCATTCATTTAAAAGCCCTTTAAAGCCTTAGCCTCCATACTAGGTAATGACCTTGACTATGCCCTTGGAAGGAAACATCTTCCCCCACTCATTCACATCTCAAAGTGTTGTCTGCTCTGCTCTTGGTGTGGGTGGGAGGGCCCGGGAGCACCCCAGTGTGAAGAGTGGCCTCGGGCATGCAGAGATACCTGGCATTTGGCCCACACCTCCCGGGTCTTCTTTCCAGGGCAGCCTGGCTTCTTCTTTTCCATCCTGTTTCCCATCAGGCTGTGAGTTCTAAGTTTTGGTTGGGAAAACAGAGCTTCTGGGACTGCAGATGTGTGGACCATGGTGAACTCACTGTGCCCCCTTCCCCTCTATTTGGAAACAAGGAGGTGAGATTGGCAGAGGGTTTCTTCCTAGCCCCATCCCAGGAGGCTCTGACCTGGGCCTCCTCATGTCCCGGCCCCTTCTCATTGGCCTCTTCCCCTCCCCTGGTTTCCTGGGGACTGGAGCAAGGGAATAAAGGCAGGGAGCACTGGAGGGAGTCTGTTTCCGCCGTGTGGGTTCTCCGGCTTGCTTCCTCCCTGGTGAGTCCTTCCTCCTGACCAAGGCGGCCTCGCTGGGTGAGCGGGCAGGTGTTCAGGAGACAGAAGGCAGGGTATTCGGAGTGTGGTTATCAGAATTTTCTGAGGAGCTGCTCTGGGTGTGGGGTGAGGATCAGGGCGGATAGGACGCCGGTGTGGATGCCCGGAGCCCTTGCCTGCACTGTGGCCCTGGCCGAGTCGGTGAGAAGCTGAGGTTTGGGGGTGGTGGGAGATGAATGACAGGTCCGGTGCAGGAATCCCCAGATGGGCTTTGGGCTGATGGGCAGAGCCAGCAGCTTCAGCCCCCCATCCCGCCCCATCTGGGGTGTTGCCTTCTTCCTCTATAGCAGAGAAGCGGTTTTGGTCTGAGTCCCAGGAGCTCCAGGGGCCACCCCTGGGTGGGTGCAGCTGTGCTGAGGGACTGGAGGGCTCCCTTCAGACCCAACCTCTGGACCTTGAGCCTGGAGGTTTCAGTCAGCTCACCGCACTCTCTGCCTCCTGCCGCATGTGCAGTTCTCTGGGCCAGCGTGGAGACCAGCCCGACCAGTCCAATCACTTGTCCCGGTTTCCGGCTGAGACCTTATCTCCCAGTGCCAGCCCCAGCACCCCCACACCCAGGACACTCTCTAGCCCTGTCTGCCACTTCTATAACACGAGACACTCCCTGCTATCAGGTGATTCAGGCCCTCAGGCAAAGGAGGGCAAGCAGGGCGAGGACTGCTTCTGGCATGTGAGAGGCCACGCTGGATGCAGGCAGGGAGAAAGTCCTGACCCTTTACCTGCTCCACCGTCCGCCACCAGGTCTTCTTTGGGGAAGGTCAACTTGCCATCCCTCTGACCCCAGATCCCTTTTGCAACGCCTCGTAGGCAGGACAGTGTACAGTCTCCTTCGGGACTGGTCAGTCTCGCGGCTCTGGCAGGTGCAAGTGTGCCTTGGGTCTCATTATAACCGGTCCTCACACATCTGGGCCCAGTTGCTGGTGGGTTTTGGTCTCATCATGAGCTGCAGCCTCTGGTCCTTGGAGCGGGGCGGGTGATGGTGAAAAGCAGACGGTCCGGTTTTCTGGAGTGTGTGACGTGCGCCTCTCCATCCACCCTCCAGAGCTGCACCCGGGGATGGAGACACCTCTTGAGAAGGCTCTGACCACCATGGTCACTACTTTCCACAAATATTCGGGGAGAGAGGGCAGCAAACTGACGCTGAGTAGGAAGGAGCTAAAGGAGCTGATCAAGGAGGAGCTGTGTCTGGGTGAGGTATGTAATGGTTGCCCACACCCTACCCCACAGCCCAGCGCTCCCTGTGGGCACTGCAGCTGGGAGGGGACAAAGAGCGCAGACACCACTGTCACAGGCTCCCCAGTGGGTGGGTGGGGGGCCCAGGCTCTGCCTCCACAGGGACCCCACAGGAGGGGCGCACACCTGCGCTTGGGCACTCCAGTCCCAGCCAGGAGCAGATGGCTGAAGGGTACGGACAGAGTCTGAAGGAAGAGGGTGGATAGCTTAGACTCACAGGACGCTAGACCTCAGCACAGGGGCTAAGCCAGGTTCCACTGAGGAGGAGGAGGGCCGGCATCTGGAGCGTGGGCTGCAGCCGGTGGGAGGGGTCCTAGGGGATGGGGGTCCACAGTGTGCACAGCTCCGGGGCAGGGCCCCCATGTTATTCCCCTCCTGTGCCTGGCTCTTCTAGGGCTCTCAGCTGGTGCTGACCCGGGAACTAAGTTTAGCTTATTTGGAACAAGAGGTTGGAAGGAGGGAGACTTGATTCTTAACAGATGGAGATGGTGGGAAGCGACGGGTAGAGGGGAAGGCCTATGAAATAACCATTATATATTATTTTTACAGTTAAAAAAAAAATCGAGGCCTGGATATACTACCTAACTTGTCCAAGGATGCCCAGCTAGTGACAGGCTGAGCTGGAATTCCAGCCCAGGCCTGTGTATCACCCTCTTTTTTTCCTTAAAAATCCAGACTGGGGGCCCCTCCTGTCACATCCTGAATTCCAGGGATCCTCCCAAGAAAGAAACTCCCCCAGGTTTGCCCTTTGGGCACGGAACTGGACAGGTGTGGGTGTCACCTGGCCTGCCACTGTCTTCCTGCCAGGCCCTCTGCATCCTGGAGTTAATGAGGGTGGGGGTGGGGGCATGGCTCCAGCAGGGGTTAATTACAGGAGTCTGAGGCCCTTGGGGAGGGCTGGCTATAACAGGAGCCCAGGCTGGGACAGGGATCTCCTCACAGAGGCTGTTTGCTTCTCCATATGTCCTGACATCCAGTCTCCTATGGAAAAGGTGGAGCTGAGGGCAGCGAAGAGGGGAGGGCAGGATGGTTCACCCAAGGGCTCTGTCTCCATCGTCTTGGTGGAGCTGGGCTGGAAGGGGACCCAACAAAGAGTATGCCACCTGTAGCCAGACACTGGTCCCCGTACAGCTGTCTTGCAAGCCCTCCCAGCAGGGGAAGGACGCAGTGGCCACCGCTCTCACGGGCTGATGTGGTGTCTGGGTCACTTCTCAATTATCCCCCATACGGACAGTCTATGTAGGAGACTTGGATCAGGCTCCGTGCCGCATAGTCACCATGCTGTTTCTATTAGGTGTTGTATAAAATCTGGATGATTATTTCTTTGGATGGTGCAAAGTGCTGAGGGGAAGAGAGGTTGGACTGGTTTTCATAGTGTAGTTTATTTAGAATCACTCCAGGCCTCTGAGCCCTTGCTTGGTGCCAGGCCCTGTGCTGGGGGTGGGCTGGAGGAAGACTCTGGGGTCAGGGTGCTGCCCACTCAGCTGGGGACCACCCTGAGGCTGCCTGCCCCCCGTGGGGTGGGGAGGGGTAGCTGATCTGTCTCTCCCCCGGGGCCCCTGAAGAAGATGAAGGAGAGCAGCATCGATGACCTGATGAAGAAGCTGGACAAAAACAGCGACAAGGAGATTGACTTCAAGGAGTACTCGGTGTTCCTGACCACGCTGTGCATGGCCTACAACGACTTCTTCCTGGAGGACCACGAATGACGGGGGTGCTCAGTGCCTTGCCCGGGCTGCTGCCGCTCGTCTCAGAGCCCCTCTGTGGCCCCTTGCCCTCCTCTTCTTCCCAGGTGGACCCTGCTTCAGCCTTTCCTTCCAGCAGAGGAAATAAAGATGTTCCATTCCATGTGTCTGGAGGCTGGTTTTGTGATGTGTGGTCCACCCGTGCTGGGGGTGGGTGGGGGGAGGTGGGGATGGGGAGAGGGGCCAGGCAGAGGGTGAGAGCCTCTGGGTGTGAGGGTCCTGCGCTCCCACCCCACTTCCTGTCCTTCCTCAGTCGAATGTCCCTGAGTTGATCAGGACTGAGTTTTGCTCTTCTGGAAAATGAGGAAGTTGGGCCCGGCTTTTGCTTGCTTCTCAGGAAACGCTTCTCAGGAAACGCTGCAAAGATGCCGAGAAAGCTGAGGGGGAAAGGGCTCTGAGGGTGTGGACACGGCGCAGCTGGGGAGTGGTTCCTGGGGGCGGCGGTAGGCAAGCCAGGCTGGCTGGTCACTAGCTTACAGGAGGCCACCCTGACGACACCGGGTGGGTGGAGAGGGAAGTCTGGCCTTTGCCTCTGGGCCAGCCCCCTTTCCCCCTCCTCCATGTCTCCCTCAGCAGCAGCACGGGACCCCAGTCGTCCCAGGGACTAGGGCTTCCTACTCCTCCTCCTCCCCTATCAAAATCCTTTCTCAGGAGAGCTGAAAACCTGAAACAACTAACGATCCTTACAGGGACTGGCCAGGCTGGTGTGCACACAAATGGGCAAGAGGTGGAATTCCAGGTTGGGGTGGGGGCGGCGAAGGGCGCCGAGGGGAGGGCAGGGGATGGGGTTGGCGGTAAGAATTTATTTTTGCTGAGGGATGGTGTCCTAGATGTCCTTTAAATAACATCCTGTGGACTATGGCTGCTCCCCATACCCCCCGCCCCCTTCCCCCTAGACACACACACACACGCAGCACCGACCGGCCCAGCGTGCCCTCCCCACCCCTCCCCATCGCCGCGGCGGGCAAGCAGCTCTGGCGGTCAGGGGGCGCTCGAGCGCCCTGGGTCTGCAGGGGTCGCCCCGACGGCCCCCACCCTTCCGCTGGACTCCTCCGCCCCCCGGAACCCGGAACAGCCCAGGGGCGGGAGGCGGGGAAAGTCGAGGGGCCCGTGTTTGTGTGTGAAGCCGGGGCCGGGGTGGGGCGCGGGGCGGGCCCTGGCGGGTGGGGGGCTCGCGGCCGGCCTCCCGGCCTCCGGCCTATAAGGCGGGCGGACAGCGCGCAGCCCGCGCCCTGGACGTTCCCGTCTCGCGCTTCGCTGCAGCCGCGCGGTGAGTCCCCGGGGCAGCCTCGTCCTCGGACCCGCCCCGGGCTAGTCCGGCCACCGCCCGTCCCCGCCGGCCCAGCGGCAGGGACAGCGAGAAGCGGCTGCGCCGGCCCGGGGCTAAGGCATCGCGTGGGGCGGCGCCCCAAGTGTGTCCCTCTGGGGTGCGGGAGGGTGTGTCCTGGGTGTGGCAGTGCCCCGGTGTGTGGCCCCGTGAGGCTGTGTGTGTAGCGCTGGGTGCCCACTGCCCACTCCCCAACGTCGGCAGCTCTGCAGGACGGTTCCCGGCTCGGGCCCCAGACCCCGTGGAGCCCCTCCGCTGCCCCCTTCCTGCGCCGACGTTACGGTCCTGGGGTCGGCCCTCTCCCTCCCCTTCAGGCCCGGGGCTTTCTGATGCGGGGTGGTCAGGGGAGCGGGTGGTGGGCGCGGAGGCTCTGGGGGGTGCCGTGCGTGAGAAGGCCCGTCCGCCCCCAGCTCTGAGCCCAGCCCTCAGCCATGGCGTGTCCCCTGGATCAGGCCATCGGTCTCCTCGTGGCCATCTTCCACAAGTACTCCGGCAAGGAGGGTGACAAGAACACCCTGAGCAAGCGGGAGCTCAAGGAGCTCATCCAGAAGGAGCTCACCATTGGCGCGGTGAGTGCCCCCCGAGGCTGCGCTTCCGTCTCGCCCCTTTGGAAGGGGGCTTCGGGCAGAGGGAGCAGCCGGGTGCCTGTGAGTCCCCGGGGTCCGCATTCCGAGGCTTGCTGAGCCCATGGGCCCACTCCCCTGAGGGGGTGTGGGACTGTGGTGGTCGCTCCCCGAGTGAGGAGCAGGACCAGAGGAGAAAAGTGGGGTGAACCCAAGGGATTGCCTCAGACCTGCGGTGACCAGTGGGCGCAGAGTGACCTGTGTGAGAGAGGGCTGGGAGGGGGAAGGGGGGAGAAGACAGGGTCCCCATCACCACTGAGTCTGGATTTCCCGCTCTAACATGTTAGAAGCTGCAGGAAGCCGAAATTGCAAAGCTGATGGATGACCTGGACCGGAACAAGGACCAGGTGGTGAACTTCCAGGAATATGTCACCTTCCTGGGGGCCTTGGCAATGATCTACAATGACGTCCTCAAGGGCTGAGAATACATTGGGACTGTGGAGACACCCTTTAGTGGGCCTGTATAAGTCAAATCCAATGGTGGGTAATTGTATAATAAATATTTTTGGGGGGGTTCAACCTAGCTCTGTGTCCTGGCCTCCCAGTGATTTCTGTTTCCTCTTCTGCTTGGTGCTGCATTGGCCATAGAGGGTTTGCTCCGTGCCCTCTGGGAGTGACTCAGTGACTTACCAGGCCCAGAGAACTAGTGGGGGGCACACCCTGACAAGACCACTGCTAGCTCGTAAGTGCCTTCATGTGCATTGGAAGAGATGCTCGTTGTGGACGAAGCCATCTTATGGAAAGGCTCGTGTGGTCTGCAGCAGAGAGGGGTCTCTGATGGGCTTGGAGAAGGAAAAAGTGCCAGAGCCAGGCTGTGAGGGGTCCAGAGACCATCCTAGGCTGGGCCCTGAAGGAGACCTGCTCTGCTCTGGGTGTGGTGAGGGGGTGGGGCCAGTCCACTTTCTCACCACAGTGAAGTGGGCGCAGAGAGGGCACGTCTGGTGTGCGCACAGCCTGGCCAGGGACCCCTGAGGACGTTCAGGCTGAGTTCACTGCAGGTGCTGGTGCCCCCTTGAAGGCGGGAGGCACACCTTAGAGGTGTGTCCCTGCATTCAGGGACAGGGTCTTCTGTGTTGAGTGTGGTGGTGTGAGCAGCTAGCAGCTGCACGGACACGTGAATCATGGGGCGCTCGCAGGTGGATAGGATGGGCTGGGCTGACCGCAGCTTCTAGCCTTTCAGTCAATATTGAGCCAGCCCATCCCTACGGCCTCACAGAATGAATCACCCCAGTTATTCCATCCGAGCTAAGCCTGGCTGTCAACCCGCATCAGGGAAGATGACTAATTGTCTGAATCCATTGTTTGCTTTAGCGTTTTGTGGGGAGTGTAGGGAGAAAGAGGGTAAACTGTGCTTCAGGTTGCTGGGGCATCTGTCATGTTGTCTCCCCTTCAGGCCTAGTCTGATCCAGGCAAGTCCTCTGTAGGTTTTGGGCACCTCAGACGGAGGCCATATCTCCTTTTACTCTTACTCACCTTCCCACTTCCCTGGAGGCCCGACTTTGTGGAATTAAGTCTCCCTCTTCCTCCGTGGGGTGGGGATCAGTAAACAGTCCCGAAGGGCTGGGAGCCTCACATTTTGGAGTCCTCCCTGGTTGCCTCCTCCTCCCCACAGGGAATACGAAGTGGCACGGATGGGAAGCAGGATGGGACCCAGGGCCCCCAGCTCCCAGGCTGCACAGCCCTGTTGAAGCCTGAGCTCTCTCCAGCTTCTGGAAAAGTACTGCCCCGCCCTGAAGTGGCTGGCAATTGGGGCATGGAGCGAGCGCCCTCCTGTGGGCAGAGAGCAGATGTTGTGGGGAGAATGGGGTTGGTTTTCTTGAAGCCCTGGGAGGGGCCCATGGTGGGTATTAGGGTCCTGGCCATCAGGGAGTCCTTCTAATGAAGAAGGAGCCCCGGGAATGTCAGCACGGGGATCTTTTGGCTCCCAGCAATCAACTCCCAAATAAACAACTCAATTTCATCTAAAACATCTAGGATGAGCAAGTCAAGAAAGGGAAGGCGGTTTGCAAACACAAATAGAATCTGAACCTTGCCCTCTCCTCGCCTGCTTCCAGGGGCATGCAGGCTTTGCTCCAAAGAGGGAGGCAGAGTCCTTTAGTGGGTGCAGGCCCACTGCCACGGGGAGGAGCTGCTCAGCCCAGGCCCCCAGCTCTGCATTTCCAGGGAGGTCAGGTGGGTGGGCAGGCCAGCGAGAGATGGAAGAGAATCAACAAATGCACACAGTCCATCAGCCAAATAACAGGCACGTTGTTTAGCTTCTGCTTCTCCACAGTAACGGAGGGAAACAGGAACATGGCCTTTAAAAACTAAAACAAAATCCCAAACAAATTGCAAATCTTTTGAATGCTTCCAGAGTGTGATACTTCTGTTTTGCCTTTTTTTTTTTTTGAGTGGGACTGGTGAAAGGAAGCAGCATTTTCAATGGGATCTCGTGGGTACAGCAGTTAATGGGTGGACTTGGATGTGGGGAGGTGCACAGACTGGTCATTTTTATTAATTTGCCTCCAATTAGTGTAAAGTTGGAAGTGAACTCTGTGGAGCAGAGGTCTGGGCTTAGAGAAGAGGGAGGGGTTCAGATGTGAGCAGGGGGCTTCACACCCTGTCCCTTCGCTGAGGCTGATGGGGAGGTCCCATTCTTCACCTGCAGGACGGGGGGAGTGGCTGGGTGTTCCCCCATTGCCCTAGCTGAGGCTCCTTCCCTTGCTGTGCATACCCGACATTACTCCTACAACCCTGACAGCCCTCAAGTTGAAACAACAGCCCTTTTCTGTAAGCTGGCAGGGGTGGGAGTGGGGTGCCCCAGTAACATGGGGGCCCATCCTGAGTCACAGGATGCAGCTCTTGGTCCTCTCCCGAGCAAATCTAAAATTGTTAAGAATAATGCCACTTTACCTTTGCATGGCACTTTACATTTTTTAAAATTTTTATTAAGGTATGATTGATATATACTCTTATGAAGGTTTCGCATGAAAAAACAATGTGGTTACTACATTTACCATATTATCAAGTCCCCACCCATACCCCAATGCAGGCACTGTCCATCAGTGCAGCAAGTTGCCAGAGAACCACTATGTCCCTTCTCTGTGATACACTGCTCTCCCCGTGATCCCCCACACCATGTGTACTAAACATAATACCCCTCAGTCCCCTTTTCCCTCCCTCCCCACCTGCCCTCCCACACCCCTTTCCTTTGGTAACTACTAGTTCCTTCTTGGGGTCTCTGAGTCTGCTGCCATTTTGTTCCTTCAGTTTTGCTTCATTGTTATACTCTACAAATGAGGGAAATCATTTGGCATTTGTCTTTCTCTGCCTGGCTTATTTCACTGAGCATAATGTCCTCCAGCTCCATCCATGTTGTTACAAATGGTAGGATTTGTTTCTTTATTATGGCTGAATAGTATTCCGTTGTATATATGTACCACATCTTCTTTATCCATTCATCTACAGATGGACACTTAGGTTGCTTCCATATCTTGGCTATTGTAAAAAGCATGCACTTTACTTTTACAAAGCGCTTTCATACCCATTGTCTTTTGTGATCCTCATAAGATTTATGTGTAATATGAATTAACAAATGAAAAGACTAAGCTAAAGGGTAGACAGTGCCTCTACCCAGGGCCAACTGTAACGTAAGAGGGAGCAGCGACCAGGACCGGCACTCCTATCCCCTTGCCAGCCCACTAGTACTTATCATGACACACTTTGGCTATTTCCTCTTCATCTTTTTCTCTTACATGCTTTAATGACATATTGAGGGTGCACAAAATGCTTTATAGAACACATCTAAGATATACGAATAATGACACAAACCCACTGAGTTTAAGAAGTGAACACGTCCATTACCTTTCAGTCCCCTGGGTTGTCCGTCCCGTCCCACTGCCTTCCCTCTCAGCACAGACACTGCCAGGCACTGGCGGGTCATTGTGTTCATCATTCTTCTTCTTTAATAATTTTTACTACATATATTTTCACTTCTAAACAGTATGTGATTTTGCACTATTGTGAACTATATATGGATGGGATAATACCATATATTTGATATATTTGTATATAGTACAAATATAGTAAGGAACAAGTAAATCTAATTGTTTTCCACATAGATAAACCATTGTTCCAGAAAAATGTATTAAAATTCCATACTTTCTCCACCACTCGGCCATGCCAAATGTGTAATAAATGAATGTGTGGGTCTGTTTCTGATCCTTAATATCTGGTAAGGCAAATCATTCACCGCGCTCTTCATCTCCAGGGATATCTTGGCTATTTTTGGCCCTCTACTTTAAAATATGCACTTTAGAGTGAGTGTATTAAATTCCACATAACAACTCTTGGGGTTTTGACTGTCATGCACTGATTCTACAGATCAACTTGTGGAGAATATTGAAGCTTCCAATCCATGAATATGGTGTGTCTCTCCATTTATTTAGGTCTTCTTTAATGTCTTTGAATAACAAGCTATCATTTTTACCACGTAAGTATTTATTGATGTTACAAACGGCATGTTTTTAAAAATATACATTTTCTGTTAGTTATTGGTATGGAAATGTAATTGAGGTTTTAGATACTTAAATTTTTTAATTGCCTTAGAAAACATAACAAAAAATTTACCATGCTAGGCACTTCTAAGTGTATAGTTTAGTAGTGTTCGATGTATTTACTTTAAATTGTTGGGCAACAGATCGCCCTAACTTTTTCATCTTACAGAATTGAAGATCTACGCCCATTAAACAAGAGCTGCTGATTTTCCCCTCCTCTTAGTCCCTGACAACCATCATTCTTCTTTCTGTTTCTATGAATTTAACTACTTTAGGTATCTCATATAAGTGGAACCATGCAGTACTATCTTCTTGTAACTGGTTTATTTCACTTAGGGTAAAATCTTCAAGGTTCATTCATACTACAGCAGATTACAGGATTTCTTCCTTTTTTGGAATTGAGTTTTTTATTGACTTTATAACCAGAAATTTTGCTAAAATCTCATTATTTCTAATAATTCAGATTCTCTCGTGTTTCCTTCAGAGACAGTTATTTCAAAATGCGAATAAAACTTTGCTTTTTTTTGATGTTTATGACTTTCATTTATTTTTTCTTGTCTATTGCACTTGTGAGGACCTCTAGTATCTTGTTAGGACCTTGTTAAATAGAAGTGTTAGTGGGTACTCCTATTTTGTTTCCTGTCTTAAAAGGAATACTTTCAAGTGTTTCACCATTAGATGCAATATTTGCAGTAAATTTTTGAAGAAACTTTAATCAGAAATTAAGAAGTTCTCATTTTCCTTAGTTTTCATTTAAAATCACAAATTGATATAGAAGTTTTTCAACTTTTTCTGCATGTATTAAGATGATTGTTGAATTTTCTCCTTTAATCTGCTAATGAAATGAAGCGTATAACTTTATTTTCTATTATTAAACCAAACATATTCCTGGGGTAAATATTAGTCTGTATACATGGCGGGCTTTGGTTTGCTAGTATTGTACCTCAGACTTCTACATTCGTATTCTGGAGAAGATTGGTTTGTAATA